AGATCAATACAGAACTTGTATTTATTGCTTTTTCCTAGTAATTCTAAGTGATTTTTAATTATTACAGATGACTGATTTCAGGGTATGCCAGTTAAACTTTAATGTCACCTTCTTGAATGCCACCAAATATTTAGCTGTCATGAAACTCACCGGTGTCATTTTTATAATAGTCCATAACGTAGATCCAGTCATGTGCGTTTATCTCTACATCATCTTTATATAAATGTAAAAGTGACCCAGATTAAAATTCTTATGCTACACGCTAATACTGCTGAATATAATTCTGTATTTATGGAAACGACAACTGGAAGCTTTTTTAGAAAACCATGCCAGGGGATAACTTAGTGAAAGCAGCAACTGGCATTAGTCCTAGAGGGGTTTCTGGAAAAGTCAGCCTTACACTTCTAACCTTCAGTCAGCTTGGAAAAATTGGACAGCATGGTGGAGCATGGTCGATCTGTCTGAAGCTACTGATTGTGTTCCACTCAGCATCCTCTTCTGTAATGTCCCCTTAATGTGGATCAGCAACGAGTTTCCAACTTGGAGATTAGGAAATCTTACTCAAAGGTAGACTTTGCATAGGATAATGTAAGACTCCTTTCTAAGGGTTGGTGGTTTCCCACACCCTCATTACTTACCTACAAAATAACGCCACCCCCCCAAGAAATGATGTTGCTCATAGCTGTGATGAGCAAAGAAAGTTTGATAAGGCTGGAGGAGGACCTAACCACCTTTCAAAATTCATTGGAAGTAATTGAGCTGAGATTCAACGCTACCATGGATTTATATATCTGGGCGTACTTGGATTTAGGCTGTTCATGAAGCTGGGTGAAAAGAAAAGTGATTTTAGCACGCGCGCTTTTCGACTACTACGCTACATTTTGCTTAATAATAAAAACTCTTATTTCTGTAAAATTTTATGCCAAGAATTTGCGGAAACTATCACAATTATTAACCTTTCGAACACTGAATCCAAAAAATACAATCTTATTGATAGATAATACCTATAACTAACTATTTGGATTTGTGAAATTTTTAAACAAAAACACATCTATATTTGTATATATTGTTGGATTTACATGTTCAAGTTGTTTCAAGACAGTGAGTTTTAAGGTTGAGATATCATTTTAGTTAACTGCGTTGAACTATATTGCATGTTGTTGTATTGTATCGTTGCCACCGCTTTTTGCCCTTTTTGCTGTGAATTGTTTTCCTTTTGCTGGTGTTGTTCTGATTGTTTTATCCCTTGTTATCTGATTTTAAGGGGAGCAGCCGAAAAGGTCACTTCCCTCTAAACTTCAACTTAATGTAATCATTCCTTTCTCAGGCGTGAGGCTAGCAACCCCACCCTGTAAACAAAGTTGCTACAGAACCTTCAGCAAAATGAACCTCTTTGCACAAAAGGAAAAAGTCTGTGTGGGGACATGGAACGTCCGCACTATGTATGAGACTGGGAAAGCTGCCCAGATCGCAAACGAGATGAAAAGATACGGAATCCAAGTACTGGGAATATGTGAAAGCAGATGGAATGGGAGTGGACTGACCAAATTGTCAACGGGTGAGTCAGTGATCTACTCCGATCACCCAGAAGATAACCACACGCACACCGAGGGCGTGGCTATCATGATGTCACCAACGGTAACAAAGGCCCTGATGCAATGGGAGGCGATTTCCTCCAGGATAATGACCGCCAGATCCAACTCCAAAGGAAGGAAAGTGTCGATTATACAATGTTATGCACCCACAAACAACGCAGACCTCGAAAAGAAAGAAGAATTCTACAGACAACTACAGGACAATACTCTAGTTGGTGACATTAAAATACTAATGGGAGACATGAACGCCAAGCTAGGACCAGACAACACAGGAAGGGGACTCATCATAGGTGGAGAAGCTCTCGGAGAAATGAATGAAAGTGGAGAACTCTTCGCCGACTTCTGCGCCTTCAACGAACTAGTGATTGGTGGCAGTGTATACAAGCACAAAGATATCCACAAGGCTACATGGGTGTCACCAGACGGGCAAACCAAAAACCAAATCGACTTCATCTCAATCTCAAGGAAGTGGAGGCGCAGCCTACTGGACACAAAAGCAAGAAGAGGAGCAGACGTTGGCTCAGACCACTATCTCGTACAAGGGACAATCCAAATCAAATTAAAAGCTTTCAGGGAAACAGGAGCTGCAGATAGACCACAAGCCAAGTTCAACACTCAAAAGCTGAAGGACCAGGCTACAAAGGACATCTTCATTGCAAGCATAAAGGACAAAGCCGAGACACAAATCAACACCAGCGAAAAGGTGTGCGTCGAAAAGCACTGGAACAACTTGAAAACGGTGTGGAGCCAAACCTGCATAGAAATTCTAGGCAGAAAAAAGAGACAGGACAAACAGTGGCTCACTACGGACACTTGGAAACTAATAGAAGAGAGAAGGACAGTGAAACAAAAGATTATCCAGTGCACTGACGAGCAACAAAAACAGGAGCTGAATGCAAGCTACAATACACTGAACAAAAGAGTGAAGAAGAGTGCCAGGGAAGACAAAAGAAAATATTATGAAACCATGGCAAACGAAGCAGAACAAGCTGCAGGCAAAGGAGACCTCGCCACACTCTACCAAACAACTAGGAACCTTTCGGGCAAACGTTCGACACAGATTAAGCCAATAAAGGACGACAATGGAAAGTCAATCACCAAAGAGGTGGAACAGAGAAAGCACTGGGCTGAACACTTCAAAAGACTTCTAAATCGTCCGCCACCTACAACACGTCCAGCAATACCAACAACGGAAGCAGAACTACCAGTGAACACTGACCCCCCGACGAAATCAGAAGTCCTGAATGCAATCAAGATGCTAAAAGCTGGGAAAACACCGGGACCAGATGGAATCCCAGCAGAGGCTTTGAAAATAGACCCAGAGACAACAGCGGACTTGATGACACCACTGCTGGAGAAGGTGTGGAAAGAGGGCAAAGTACCCGAGGATTGGAAGAACAGTTACTTATTCAAACTTCCAAAGAAAGGAGACTTAAGTCAATGTAAAAACTGGCGTGGAATTATGCTTCTGTCCATTCCAAGCAAGATACTAAGTCGCATCATCCTGGAGAGAATCAAACAAGCCCTAGATGAAAAACTTCGTCCGGAACAGGCTGGATTCAGGAGAAACAAATCATGTATTGATCAAATCGCCACTCTACGGATCATCATTGAACAAAGCTTGGAATGGCAGTCACCTCTCTATCTCAACTTCATCGACTTTGAAAAGGCCTTCGACAGCGTCGATCGAGAGGTCATTTGGAAACTACTTCGCTACTACGGGGTCCCATCGACAATTATACACCTCATCCAACAGTTATACGACAATGCTGCATGCCAAGTAATCCACAACGGGAAACTTACGGAAGCCTTCGAAGTGAGGACGGGAGTGAGGCAAGGCTGTCTACTATCACCAATGATCTTCCTGATTGCAATTGATTGGATAATGCGACAGACAACGGCAACCAACGAGGGAACAGGCATAAAATGGACTGACACAAAAGACTTGGAGGATCTGGATTTCGCCGATGATATATGTCTGATTTCCCACAGACTGGAAGATATGCAAGTGAAAAGTAACAAGTTGGCAGAAGAAGCATCAAAGATAGGACTTCACGTGAACATAGATAAAACAGAGATGATGAAGATTCCTGGCCAACACCAACAGCAACAACAACAACAGACAACAATCAGCATAAATGCGAGGAACCTGAAAGAAACAACCTCCTTCACCTACCTGGGAAGCATCGTCTCAACTACAGGCGGAACTGACGAGGACATCAAAGCCAGAATCGGAAAAGCAAGACAAGCTTTCATTACTCTCAAATCTGTGTGGAGGTCAACAGCACTCAGCATCAAAAATAAGATCCGGATTTTCAACTCCAATGTGAAGTCAGTGCTACTATACGGATCAGAGACTTGGCGAGTCATAAAGAGCATCTCAAACAAACTTCAAACCTTCATTAACAGCTGTCTTCGCTCAATACTCAAGATCAGATGGCCAGAAAAGATCAGCAACAGGGATCTCTGGGAGCGAACCAATCAGGAACCGATTGTGAAACAAATAGGCAGAAAGAAATGGAGATGGATTGGCCATACGCTGAGGAAACCATCAAGTGACATCACTAGACAAGCCCTCGAGTGGAACCCGAAAGGGAGGCGGCGAGTTGGTCGTCCAAGGGTGACTTGGAGGAGGTCATGCGAGGAGGAGATGAAAGCATGTGGACAGACCTGGAGCAGGGTGAAAAAGTTGTCAGAAAACCGAAGGCAATGGAGGTGCGCAGCTGAAGCCCTATGTTCCTCTAGGAACTAAAGGATACAATAATACAATAGTAATGATGAAGCTGGGTAAAATACGTCTACAGAGAAGCCAAAACAGAACAGCATTTCGACTAACCAAAATATGGAATAAATTTTGGATTCAGCAGCTTTGGGTACTGATACGCGGCTAATTAACTAGAGTTTGTGCACGAACAATCGGACGTCGCATAAATGCTTTCCCAAGTGGCGAGAGTACTTGACGGCGTACCTTCAGGTTAACCAGATGGCTTAGATGATGAAAGTGAAAACTTAATGTTGAATGACAAGGACAGTGGTCTTCTGGAATTACTTATCACTACAGTATGATCATCTAGTTGTCTGATATACATCTTGTCCATTTATTTCACTGGTTTGGCTCCTATTTCCTGGTGAAACTGCACTTCCACATCCCAGGCGGCACATTTCATGGAAATCTCAAACGTTGCCCTCAAAATAAACGAGCACCGTTTCTATTCCTGCGTTTAACATAGCTGTGACAGGCTTTCGGAACATGAATCATCTAAATAATTAGCATCTTTTAATATTTTAATAAGAACAACAACAAGAAGACAATGGGTTTATGCACGTCGGCCACTGAGATATTCTACATTGAATAGTGTCTTTTGTGTCTTCCGGAACCTTCATAATAAACATTCGAATTCATTGGCTGTTTATCAACACGAACACAATAGAAAAAAGTTTCCGTTTCCCATAATGATGAATTTGTGGGTCTGACTTGTTTACAACCATTTAGTCCTTAAGCAGAATAACCTTGAGGGTGGCGGCTATAGTAACGTGAGTCTGTTAACGTGAGTTTTTCTGAAACACTGAAGTCTTACCCCTGTTTGATTAGCTAGTTATATATAACATGCCAAAAATTATTTGCGTTTGTAGCGCTATGAAACTACTACGTCGTGTTCTAAATTGTGGATTGATCCACTTATCCCACGTTTCTCCCACATGGGAATTCCCATGTAAATTTCCCGATTGGGAAGATTTATTTATTTTTGGGATACTACTCAATTTAGTTATAGCGAAGACCCTAGAGTGTGGTACATGTTTTGTCCAAAGTTATCGATATGTTTAAAGTGAGTCCAAAGCTGTCAAAATGTCTGCAGCACACACAAAGTTTGGCTAGCTGGACTATGATATCATACCTAGATTCGAAAAAAGTTCTATCAAGCTTTTATTCGGACTTAATCTATGAAGGATATTTTTTTGGGTCTGTTTTCATAGGAAAAACCAGGTCATGGAGACTTGAATACCAAATATTCATTTGAATGACATGCGGATATGTGCACAGACACTGTTTGGTGGAAAGCCGCATCATCCTGTTTATTGGCTCCAACACATATGCACAGTATATATCTTGATGGTAAAAGTCACTGGCTACCACACTCTACTGGATGTTTTTCGGGAATTTATCTCTGCATTTTGCTCATCTGCTCACCCTATCAACTCTCGGCCAGCCTAACTTGAGCTAAAACACACGAACATATCCTTCAGATGTTTTGATCAAGAAGGCAGCATATTAAGGCAGGTGCGTATGCTATGCTACTCAGTCCAAATTTACACTACACTTATGTTCAGTATTTTAGTTGTTTAACTGATAGAACGCCAAATTATCGAAATTTTCGGGCTTACAATGAGAAAACTGGTGTATACCCCTTGTAGAAATCATGGACAGACAGATATGAGCAGCCCCTAATCTAGACATGAGTTCATATATCAATAAAAAATTGAATGATTTGACTTAAATCGGTAATATGTGCAGGAGAAAGCAACCACTGGTCTCTAAAATTGTGACTACCCTTTTAAACGGCTGAAGTCAACGTTTACAAATTTCACAAATTATCTCCATATTTTTGACCCTTTAAATCCTAATTCTTGAAGCTTTATCTTACTGCGGTGTACACTTGTCTACAAGTGACAATTTCAGGCTACCTCAGCTGATGAAAATCTGCAGCCTGATCGGCTGATTTGTTTCATTGGCATAACACCATCTCGTCTTAAAATTCTCCTTGTATTGTATAATGATGCACATTGATGGCTAAAGTTGTTACCAGTTTGCGGTCACTGTCTTCCCACCCACCCCCTAAGATTCACCTCCGATAATTTAAGGACTTAGAAGTGAGCATTTCGTTTTGTTCTACTTTATGCCTGTGAGGTTATCACTGAAAACCATAATGACTATAGGTTTTGACCACATACACCTTCATTCGGTTACCGATATTTGGTGTAACAAAAAGATAAATAATGTTGAGGTTAGATGTTCTAAATGAAAAAAAGATAACTCAATCAGTCAGTCTATAGCGGACTGATATGATTCAGCCACTGTCTTTGCCCAGGAACACTTGTTTGAAGTAGGATTAAATTGTAAAAGGGTTCAAAGTTTTCACACGTGATGCTCTGTTGACCTGATCAGTATATGGAAGTGAACTGACTAAACCTATCCTCAAGATAGTACCACTAATGTCACACCTCCACTCTCCCTCTATAATACACTATCACGATTCGATCTTGGGTCATGCAAATGAATATGGATAGGCGTAACCAGTATTCTGTGAAATAAGTGAAAACGAATGAAATATCACTCAACTACCGCATGCAATCCCATTCACAATCAGCAATGAGCCACACATTCTGTCTGACGGCTAATAATTCTACCTGTTTCTATTATGCTTTTCTTGTACTTTCTTCTCTTGCTTCGCGTGCTACACGGAGTGTGGCGACTTGAACTTCCGCACATTTGTGCAAAGTTCTATGTCGAAAACAGACAGACAGAATAATTCTACCTGGTTTCCCGAACATCGACAGGTGGAGCAGGGTTCGAATTCGTGACCCATTGTTTAAAAGTCCAGGGCCTAGGCCAATGGACCACAGCTCCTCAGCATTGTGTAACCGTATTTGCACTTGAAAATAAAGATGGAGAAGGGAAAATGAAAAATAGCTGTCGATTTAACGTCGTCACCAAGAGTTTATAGGTATTAATTGAGAATACCACACGTTTCTCTCCACGCTTTAGATCAATTATTGATGGTTTCAGGTCTTCCGATTATTACTATTTTATTTTTTTATTTTTTGATTACAGCTTGATTCCACACCGTATTTTTGGTACAATTATGGAATTTTCAGCATGGATATCGGTAGCCCAAAATTCGCAGGCCAGCCATAGATATCAGGTGTGCGTTGGCGTGGGCACGAACCTCGGACCATGTGCATGGTCTGCGAGAGTCCTAACCACTGTGCCACCGACGCACTTTATATAACCTCAGCTATTGTTGTTCTTTGATGACACTTTCCGAGATAAATATATATAGTTGCCTTTTCGCATGTGTCACTTTAATACACTCTACTGAACTTTCGCTTACTTTTGTTTACATTGTTTCTTTTTTAAGGTTGAAAGTCAGAGAAAGTTGTGCTGAACTCACCTATACTTTAATCATCAATTATGTTCGCTTGCCTAAAAGTATGTTTCCCCTTACTATGTGTTATCGCATCATGCTCTAGGGATTGTCAGCAATAGTAACTGGAGGTTCCTCAGGACTTGGATTGGCTACAACAAAAAAGTTATTCTTTCCAAAACTTATGATTATTATTATTATTTTCCCACAGACTCATTGCAGAAGGATGTAAAGTGTTAGTGTGTGATTTACAAAAGTCTCCTGCATTATCTGAATTGGGCAGTAATTGTGTATACTGTGAAACAGATGTAAGTTGTCCTGCAAATTACTTTTTCTTTTTAATCTTTAACTGTGAAATGGAAAAAAATTGATCTTCGAACTACTGTTTCTTCTAGGTTGGTTCAGAAACAGATGCAGAGAAAGCTGTCAATTTGGCCAAAGAAAAGTTTTCAAATCTTCATATTCTAGTTAATTGTGCCGGTCTAGCGGTTGCATGCAAGACGTACAACACAAAACGACAGAAACCCCATCCACTTGATTTATTTGAGAAGGTTATACGGGTATGTATTTAACAATTACTTCTCAATTAGCACTCTAGTCCGCATTCTTGTGGTAGGGAATAGGAATTTCACAAAAGGAAAGTGGCGTATTCTTAATACTTATCACTAAACTGGTGAATAAGGAGGGTTCGTCTAGAGGAGTTCATAAGCTCTAACTCCAAATTATTGGTGTCCATAGACTCCAAGATCAGCAGTCTACACCCTCCTACATGACCCAAACCAACTGGCGAAGACTTCATGGATTGACAGCCTGTTTTATAATTTGATCACCCCTAACTCTTTTCTATTCTCATGTGGTGTCAGTTAACAATGCCGTCGAGGAAGGTAGTGCCTCGGTATGGACAACACTTATCCTAGCCATCTCAGTCGTTATAATTTCATAACTTCATCTATTGCCTTACTCTCCCTACCTAGCACTCTACGTCTAACTTCAAAATTATTCATCGTTTTATACTACTATAAGTTTGAGATAGAACACAGACGTCAGTCAGTCTGTCTGTTTTCGACATAGAACTTTGCATCGATGTGCAGCAGTTCAAGTCGCCATGTAGCACCCAGAGCAAGAGAAGAGAGTAGAAGAAATGCATAATAGAGACAGTAAACACAGATGTGAGACAAAGGAATAGTAATAACGAAGAACAATACAGTTTCACTGGAAATTTAAAAGGGTTACGGAGTGGATGCACCTGCACTAGCCATTAAGAACGATTTTGAGCCATATCACCGATTGTTTCCAGCCATTGGCTTTTACCGTCCCGGGGACCCCAACCAGGAAGCCAGTCTACACCTTCCTACGTGACTGGCTTAAACTAATCGTTGTGGATTTCATTGACTGGCGCCATGTTTTGGTTTGACCGCCGCCGCATCTTTTCCAGCCTGACCCTATATCAGCTAACATAGCCTGTTGTCGAGGAAGGCGATGACTAGGTTAGGCATACGTAACACATGTCCTAACCATCTTAGTCGATGTAGCTTCACAGTCTCGTCGATTGATTTCCCCTCCTTACTTAGCGCTCGACCGGTCCCTAACCTCAATATTGCTCACCTTATTATACCACTTCACACGGGAGATAAAACGCAGGCACCTATCATCAAAGACAGCTAGTCTTTTCATGTTTTCCACTCTCAATGGCCAGGTCTCACAGCCAGTCATGAAGGAGGTCGGAGTGAACTGATGAGCAGTACACTCGCCCTCTGGTCGACAGCCAGCTAGCCGGATATCACGTCTACACCAGAGACGACGTAAACTGGCGTATGCGAAACTAGCCCTCTGTATCCGTGCTGAGATTTCGTCAGAGATCAACCTGTTGGCGTTGGCTGATGCAACTGTCCAAGTAAGTGAAATGGTCAGCACGCTCATCCACTCCACTCCATATCTTTAAACTAAAAGTTGGTGCAGTCCAGTCCTGCATAATCATCTAAAATTTGACTGAAGCCAGTCGCATGCCAAACATTTGAAGATTTCTGCCCAAGGTGTTTGGAAGACTGTATTTTATTGTCGTCTTCACTTAGGAGGACACTGTCATTACCTGCTTTGAGTTAACAAGACTGTTATCTGATAACAAGTCAAGTCGCTGAAGTTAGTTAGGGTCAATTCCATCAATACATCTACGATGAAATTAAACAAAAATGGGAACAATAGGCATTTGTGACGGACATCACTGGTGGTCACCATCTCAGATTGCAACTCTCTATAAGCTTTTATACGGTTGCGTCAATTTGAGTATGGATTACTTTTTACTGTCTTAAAAGCTTACCGATTGATTCTGTAAAATAGTAATTTGCTTCACCTTGAGCATCCTCCGCTTTCATCTCAGCCTTCATCAATGCAGGTACATCCAGATGACGAGTCCCAAATGGGACGAATTCGCTTCCTGGATTCCCCTGCTAGTCACCATCCACCAATTAAATTTATCAAAAACAGTTGAGTTTTGTGTAATTATCCTTATAAAGTCTATTTATATTCAATGTTCATTTCTGATTGACCAGTGTTTTTAAATTCACTTTCTCTCGTTTTGCTGCTTATCTCATCCGTTTAAGACCAATTTAATTGGCACCTTCAATATGATTCGACTTGCATCTGCTGTAATGGTTGCTAATACACCAGACTGTGACAATCAACGTGGTGTAATCATCAATACTGCAAGCATAGCTGCATATGAAGGTCAAGTTGGTCAGGCTGCTTATTCAGCAAGTAAAGGTGCTGTGGCGGGTCTCACTTTACCGGTTGCTCGTGATCTTGCCCGAGAAGGAATTCGATGTGTATCCATTGCTCCAGGTTAGCAGAAGTGGATGGCTTTTTTTTTTTATATGCAATTCAGTTAATAGTTAATGATTTTGTAAGTTTGATTTATTGAATTGTGGCAAATATCCATCAGGGCACATTAGAGAGAAAAGAACAAGAAGTTTAGTAAAGACATCTCATCTTTTTGGCGATTTCATTCTCAAAAGTAGCTGTACAATCGCATTTATATAGAGAAGCTTATATAGATACAATTATTGTTTAATTCCACATAGTAACGAAGGTGATTAAGGGTCATAATAATTTCAACTTGAAAGTTTAATGGTGTGAATATGGATTACCACAAGGGGCTTAGAAAAAAAATTATACAGGATTAGTTTAAATAGTTTTTATTGCATGGGGGATTTAATCATGAGCTGACATCAGTTAGAGAACCACTGAAAAACCTGGGAGTACTGGACAGCTGTTTCGTCCTAGTTTGGGACTCTTCAGCAGTACGCACCCACCGGGATTCGAACCCAGGACCTTCTGGTTACAAGGCGAGCTCGTAGACCATTGAGCCACTGGGACCCGATCCAATGGTCCTGGAATTCTAACTTCTGCCAGTTCACGACATAGCGCGACCACTTCGCAATGTCTTCTTCGATGAGTTACTGCCTCATCTTCAACCTGCTGTACCCTACTGGTCACGGCTTCCCACTAGAACCCCAGGTTAACTGCCTGAATAGGGCCAGTCACTAGTGAGCATCAGATTAATTTTCAAGTATTGGTTTTGTAGGGATTTTGTTTGATTGCATGGAGGATTTAATCATGAGCTGACATCAGTTAGAGAACCACTGGAAAACCTGGGAGTACTGAGGCAGTAACTCATCGAAGAAGACATTGCGAAGTGGTCGCGCTATGTCGTGAACTGGCAGAAGTTAGAATTCCAGGACCATTGGATCGGGTCCCAGTGGCTCAATGGTCTACGAGCTCGCCTTGTAACCAGAAGGTCCTGGGTTCGAATCCCGGTGGGTGCGTACTGCTGAAGAGTCCCAAACTAGGACGAAACAGCTGTCCAGTACTCCCAGGTTTTTCAGTGGTTCTCTAACTGATGTCAGCTCATGATTAAATCCTCCATGCAATCAAACAAAATCCCCACAAAACCAATACTTGTAAATAGTTTTTAACGTACAAATGTATGAATGAGATGAACGTGGAAAAAATGTGATTTAGCTATTCACTGATGTACGTCTCACGGAAACTGTTCGCTATATGTGTGTAACTCATTTGGTGCTCATAGTTTACACATAGGAGTGTTGACAACCTACTTCCTCTTTTCTCCTACATTCTTTCTGTTTCTGTTACTTGTTAATTCTCTTTTTGCGCCCCACCCCCATGCTTTCCCATATAATGGAAAATTCTCATAACTTAACCCTTTTTGTAACATTCTACACTGATCTACATGTGTGTCTTTTAAACCAAAGTATACACTCGCTCAAACTAAGGTACCTGCACTGGCTAAGACCTTCCTACGGTCAAGGTTATGATTATGAGCAATAAATTGTGCTCGAAACGTCATAATTAAATATTATTACGCAGTGTCTCTCTTTGTGCCTAAAGTTAGTGCTAACTAGGAACAGATAATTATTTGAGCAAAACTGTAGAAGGCGATCGCCGTTGTCGGTTCGTCGGCAGGGAACTCCATACGTCTGTCTGTCTGGATTCAGCATAGATCTTGGCACTGAAGTGCGCCAGTTCGAGTTGCCACGTTCCAAATAGCACACAAAGGTAGACACGAAGATGAGTGAAGACAATCAATAGAGTTTGACAAGTATAAGAGTGAAACAGAATGGGTAATGGTAGAAAGGAATATGAAAGATTACAGAGACTGAATACATCTGCGCTGGCCATTGACAACGATTTTGAGCCATGTCCCCTATTGTCTCCAGCCATTGATTCCTAGAGTCCCGAGGGCCCCAACCGGGAAGTCTGCATCTCCCTACCTGACTGACTCAGTTTAACTGTCAAGGATTTCATGGATTGATGAGGCCATGTTTTGTTTGGCCACCACTTACTCTTTTCCAACCTGCACCTATTTCAGCTAGTAACGCCCGTCGTCGGGGGAGGTGATGGTTAGGCATGCGCAGCACGTCACCTAGCCATCTCAATCTGTGTAACTTTATAGCCTCGTCGATTGATTTTCCCTCTTTGCCCAACACTCTACGCCTAACGTCAACATTACTTACCTTGTGAAACCACCTAACGTGAGAAAGAGATCGTAGACATCTATGATCGAAAGCAGTCAACTTTTTCATGTCTTCAACTCGTGTTGGCCATGTTTCAGAGCCATAGAGAAGGACGGAGCGAACTGCTGAGCAATACACACGTCCCTTGGTTGATAGCCGGATGTCACGCCTACGCCGGAGATGGCGTAAGCTAGCGAAAGCAGCTCGAGCTTTTGGGATCCGTGCTGATATTTCGTCGCCAATCAGTCCGTTGGTGCTGATTCAACTCCTCAAATAGGTGAAGTGGTCAACATGTTCTATCACTTCACTCCCTATCACTCAGCTAGGAGTTGACGTAGTCCAGTCCTGTAGCAGCATCTTACATTTTACAGGGGCGAATCGCATGCCAAACATACGAGGATTGCTGCTCAAGGTGTTCAGAAGACTCTGCATTTTGTCAGCACCCTCCCCTAACAGGACTATGTCATCTGCATATTCTAAGTCCATAAGACTATACCCTGGTAACAAGTCGATTCCCAAGTCGTTACGTTCAGTTAAGGATACTTCCATTAGCATATCTATGATGAAGTTAAACAGAAATGGAGAAAGTGGACATGCCTGTCGGACACCACTGGTTGTTATCAATTCAGATGACAATTCCCCATAAGCCCTCAGATGACTACGTGAGTTTGAATAGAATGCCTTGATTAGTGCAATGTACTTTCTTGGCACTCCCTTCGCAGTCAAACATTGCCATAGTACCTTTCGATGCACAGACTCGAAGGCCGCCTTCAAGTCAAGAAATATGGCAATTTTTAGACACCGAAAAGTGTGTCTATGTTCTAGAATCTGTCGAAGAGTGAAGATATGATATATGCATATGTACCACCTACATCCCTATAACACTGTGAGACTTTATCAAAATGAATTTAATTCATAATGGAATTATACTCTACCACACTGCTCAAGTTTTATTCTTATTTCTGAATGAACTCTGATGGGTAGTTATTCACCAGTAATATTTTCTTTATTTGTTCGACTTCACTACCTTAGTCTTCGGGCTCACTAGTTGGACTCAGGGCTCGATTATACATATTTTCAAATATAGCTATCTTTACTGATTCTGAATGGGATGAATTAAAGTTTAAGTATCTATTTAGAGTGTATCTGTCTCCTATAAATGTTAGAATCTAACCACCCACTCACTATCTTGTTTCCGTTTTATTCTACAGTCTAGCGTGGCCAGCTCACCCTGTTCATTTTCTAACTCAGAAGTGAATTGGATTCCGTCTACTGTTGAGTTTATACTTGTGAAAATCTGAGAGATATGTTCGGATTTCAACATAGGGAAGGTGTTATCTACATATCTCCACCATAGCCTAGGAGCAGGATTAAACATTCGAAGAGCTATATGTCCCCAACTATCCGCAAATATCTCTGATACTATAAGGGATATTGTGAACCCATTGATATTGATTCCGTCTGCTTCACCTTTACCTGAGGTGGTTGCACTCTAATGGGGATGTAGCTGATTGGCTTAAGTACACTCGGTTCGATTCTGTCTCCATCTACCTCAATCTTGGCCACTTGGTTGATAGGGGTAATATCATCAGCCCTCACGGAATTAGTGCAACTCGTAATCTCATGTACGGAAAGTCTTTTCGGAGTATCGGAATCCTAACTTAGATTTTCTAAGTTTCGATTTAATTTTTATTCCTGTGATGCTAATAATTTTTGAAAGTGTAAAGTCAATAAGACAACTTTGTAAAAAAAATGACGGAAGCGGATATCTGACTTTCTGCAATAAGTATGACCGACAATTATCAATAGATTTCATCTATGTCTATTCGTGTGATGAGTTTTCTTCTCTGTCATGTTACTTCATATGTCGTACTGCAAACTTCAAGATCATGGAAACTGATTATTATTATGCCCTCCCCCCATATACCTGAAGCGTGAATTGCACAAGATCATTGAGGAGTAAAGTGTACGAATCACACTTACGCCTTTCAAAGACTATTCTTTGCGTTCCGAGTGGAACATTAAGGTTTCAAGCTTTGAAGTTTAAGTAACAGTGTTGTTACTTTGATGAGACAGGGTTGTTAGTCTCACGCCTTCTAACCTTCCCACTTTTCTTGTGACTAGGAGAAGTTTTGAAGTGAATTGGTTGAGAATTGAAACATAACCACTTGCGAGTGTGTGTGTGTGGCTGACAAGTATTCTGCCATTCAACCATCGAAACACTGGAGTCTCAGATGAAAGATGAACCGGAGTAGATACTACTGGCGAAGAAAATTAGCCGAATCGACTATAGGAGAAGGATAGATTCTGAACGCTGTCATACAGGTTCATAATTCCAAGTGATCAGGGAACTTAAATCGTGTGCGTCGGTGGCACAGTGCGCTGACCATGTATATGGTCCGCGGTTCGATCCCCTGCCGACGCACACTTGATATCCATGGTCAGCCCGCAAAACTTGGGCTACCGATATCACATGCTGAAAATTCCATACTTGTCTCAAAAATACGGTGTGGAATCAAGGTGAAATCAGAAAGAAAATCAAAATAATCACTTGTACACTTTTGAGGTTTGCAGGGGAGTATATTATTGGCTTTTTCGATAATTACAAGCTGGGCTGCATAACAGGTTCTACGGATGACCGAATTCAACCTTTGTCTCAACATCCTACTGTTATCTTCTCCTATTTGTAATCTATGGTAACACTATTTCAATTAACTTACAGTTTTAGCTATCAACAATATTGTTATCATCATTATTATTTTACACTTTTTGTACATTGTTAACTTAACTTTCACTGCGAATACGAAACAACTGCGGTTATCAATCGTGTAATATGATTTTTTATATTTGATTGGATGGAGGATTTCCTCATGAGGTGACATCAGTTAGAGAACCATTAGAAAACCTGGAGGTACTGGAAAGCTGTTTCGTCCTTGTTTGCGACTCTTCATCAGTACGAACCCACCGCCACGGTGCGAAACCAGCACCTTCAGGTTACAAGGCTAGCGAGCTCGTAGACCATTAAGCCACTGGGACTCGATCCGCTGGTTCTTAAATTCTAACTTCTGCCAATTCATGACATAGCGCGACCATTTCTCAATGTCTTCTTCAATGAGTTATTGCCTCATCTTCGACCTGTTGTACCCTACTGGTCACGGCTTTCCACTAGATATATCTATTTTTATGTTTTCGCTATTGTTGAGTAAATTAGTTGCAATATTGTGCGAAATGTTGAGAAATACATAATGTATTATAAGTACTGTTTTGGAATAAAGCCAATTATATATTTTCTATAGTTTGGTTTGTAAAGGTTAGTTATGTTTTTACAAGTTGATCACGGATTGATATCAGTTAGAGAACCATTGAAAACATAACTAACCCTTACAAACCAAACTACAGAAAATTAATCTGATGCTTGCTAGTGACTTGCTACAGGTTGGAGTTTCCTGAGTTCTAGTGAGAAGTCGTGACCAGTGAGGTCCAATTAGATGTCACGTGTGTCGATGGATGTCCCACCAACGATAATGGTTGGGGTCGCGCTAAATTACGAATTGGTAGAAGTTAGAATTCATGAGTTGGTCATTGAATCGGGTCCCAGTGGGTGAATGGTATACGAGGCAGCTTGCCTTGTAACCGGAAGGTCTTGGGTTCGAACCCTGTCGGTGGGTGCGTACTGGCGATGATTCCCATACTAGGGTGAAACAGCAGCTGTTCACTACTCCCTGATTTTCAATGGTTCTCTGTCTGTCTGTCTGTTCTCGACATAAAACTTTGCACATATGTGCGGAAGTTCAAGTCGCCATACTCCCTCCATGTACCACACAAAGCAAGAGAAGAGAGTAGAAGAAATGCATAATAGAGACAGTAAACACAGATGTGAGACAAAGGAATAGTAATAACGAAGAACAATACAGTTTCACTGGAAATTTAAAAAGGTTACGGAGTGGATGCACCTGCACTAGCCATTAAGAACGATTTTGAGCCATATCACTGATTGTTTCCAGCCATTGGCTTTTACCGTCCCGGGGACCCCAACCAGGAAGCCAGTCTACACCTTCCTACGTGACTGGCTTAAACTAATCGTTGTGGATTTCATTGACTGGTGCCATGTTTTGGTTTGACCGCCGCCGCATCTTTTCCAGCCTGACCCTATATCAGCTAACATAGCCTGTTGTCGAGGAAGGCGATGACTAGGTTAGGCATACGTAACACATGTCCTAACCATCTTAGTCGATGTAGCTTCACAGTCTCGTCGATTGATTTCCCCTCCTTACTTAGCGCTCGACCGGTCCCTAACCTCAATATTGCTCACCTTATTATACCACTTCACACGGGAGATAAAACGCAGGCACCTATGATCAAAGACAGCTAGTCTTTTCATGTCTTCCACTCTCAATGACCAGGACTCACAGCCATAAAAGAGGACGGAGTGGACTGATGAGCGGTACACCCGCCCTTTGATCGATAGTCGGATGTCACGTCTACACCAGAGACGACGTAAACTGGCGTATGCGAAACTAGCCCTCTGTATTCGTACTGAGATATAGTCCTTCTAGGCGAAGACGCTGACGAAATGCAGAGTCTTCTAAACACCTTGAGCCGCAATCTACGAATGTTTGGCATACGATTCGCTCCCGCCAAATGCAAGATGATGTTACAGGACTGGACTACATCGACGCCTAGTCTAAAAATAGGAAGTGAAGTGGTAGAGCACGTTGACCGCTTCACTTATTTGGGAAGTACTATCAGCCCCAACGGGCTGATCTTTGACGAAATCTCAGCATGAATACAAGGGGCTCGTTTCGCATTTGTTAGTTTACGCCGACTCTGGCGTAGACGAGATGTTCGGCTATCGACCAAAGGGCGGGTGTACTGCTCATCAGTCCGCTCCGTCCTCCTTTATGGTTGTGAGCGAGACCTGGCCACTGAGAGTGGAAGACATGAAAAGACTAGCTGTCTTTGATCATAGGTGCCTGCGTTCTATTTCCCGTGTAAAGTGGCATAATAAGGTGAGCAACATGGAGGTTAGGCGTAGAGTTCTAGGTAAACAGGGGAAATCAATCGACGAAGTCGTGAAGTTACAAAGACTGAGATGGTTAGGACATGTGTTACGTATACCAAGCCATCGCCTCCCTCGACGAGCTATGTTAGCGGATATAGGGTCAGGCTGGAAAAAAGCTAGCGGTGGTCAAACAAACCTTGGCATCAGTCAATGAAATCCACAACAGTTGGTCTAAGCCACGTAGGAAGGTGTAGACTTCCAGGCTGGGGTCCTCGGGACGGTAAAAATCTATGGTTGGAAACAATTGGTGACATGGCTCAAAATCGTTCTCAGTGGCGCAGATGCATCCACTCCCTGTGACTTATGATCTTCAATGAAACTGTTTTGTATTTCTTTATTACTCCTTTGTCTCACACCTCTGCTCACTGTTTCTATTATGCTTTTCTTGTACTTTCTTCTCTTGCTTCGCGTGCTACACGGAATGTGGTGATTTGAACTTCCGCACATTTGTGCAAAGTTCTATGTCGAATACAGACAGAGACAGACAGACAGTACTGAGATTTCGTTGGAGATCAACCTGTTGGCGTTGGCTGGTGGTACTTCCCAAATAAGAGAAGCGGTCAACATGCTCTACAACTTCACTTCCTATTTTGAAACTAGGAGTCGCTGTAGTCCAGTCCTGTAACATCATCTTGGATTTGGCGGGAGCGAATCGCATACCAAACATTCGTAGATTGCAGCTCAAGGTGTTCAGAAGACTCTGCATTTTGTCAGCGCCCTCGCCTAGAAGGACTATATCGTCTACATATTCCAAGTCAACGAGATTATTCCCTGGTAGCAAGTCAATCCCTGAGTCGCTGAAGTCACTTAGGGTTAAGTCCATTAGTACATCTATGATGAAGTTGAATAGAAAAGGGGATAATGGGCATCCTTGACGGACACCACTAGTCATCACCAGTTCAGATGAAAACTCACCGTAGGCCTTACCTGGCTGTATGAGTACGAGTAGAGTGCCTTAATCAGTGTAATATATTTTCTCGGGATTCCCTTTACAGTCAAGCATCTCCAGAGAACTTCTCGATCGACAGAGTCGAATGCCACCTTTAGGTCAAGAAATACAATGATTGTTGGACGCCAGTAGGAATGCCTATGTTCTAGAATCTGTCGGAGGGTGAAGAAATGATCAATACACCCTCTTCCTGGTCTAGAGCCTGCCTGGCTGTCTCATGTTTGTGCTTCCCGAGCACCACTCAGTCTACGCATGATTATTGAGCCTAAGACTTTAGATACTATATTAGTCAAGCTAATCCCTCTGTGATTATCGCAAGAAGACTTGTCTCCCTTCTTGTATATGGGGATAATCCGTGACTTACACTGACCCGATTGGACTTCCTCTGATTCCCAGACGCTACCTAGGAACTCAGTTAATGCAGACAGTAAACTGTCTCTAACTGATATCAATCCGTGATCAACTCGTAAAAATTTTATGTATATATATATATATATATATATATATATATCAAAGCGTTGTATTCTCATACAAATAGTTCCACTGTTTCCATCAAAATCCCGTGTGTATATTCAAAATAAATTCCCTAGGTTTATTTAGCACAAAGACAATAATGGGTGAACGTGAATATCGAGATTTTCAATTACGCTATTTAAATGATATCCAGTTGGCTATTCAACGTATGGGTCAACCAGAAGAATTTGCCGCCTGTGTTATCAGTATTATTCAAAATTCAATGATCAATGGATCTATGGTGAAGCTTGACGGTGGAGGACGTCTTATCTTTTTATAATGCCTGAAACATATAAGCCAAACCAGACAATCATGTATTTTAACAACTTTTGTACATATTTATGTATATAATAATATGCGTAGACAGACCATGTAGAAAGGGTGGTTGGGAGTGGGGGGTCCTTTTTTGTACACAAAAATACACACAAAAATTGTACTTACTCTCGTCCTTTTCTTCTCTAAATTATGTTTTTTTCTACAGGATTTTTTGATACAGCCTTATTGAGTGGTGTACCAAATGTTGATTTATTGAAAAAATTACCTCTACTACCGAATCGTATAGGCAAACCAGAAGAATTTGCCCAACTTGTTGAAGCCATAATACGTATACCAATGTTTAATGGTGCAGTCATTCGATTGGATGGTGCTGTACGTATGCCACCGTAAATGATTGATGATCGATCATCACAAAAAAATGTCTACTGTAAAAAAAAAATGTTAGCACTCTTTTGTCGTGTATAGAGTTTTATGCGTGTAAATTTGAAGTTTTTTTGATGAAGTTGTCTTGTTCGTTTTGTTGTGTTCCTTTGCGTTGCGTTCTTGTGACTTGTTTCTTGCGATTTTATTTAGAGTTGCCTACATTTTTGATGATTTCGCGGTTGATTTATGTTTGATGTCACACAAAATCGAAGACTTACAAGCGAAAACTGGTCGAAGAAGCAGCCAGAGAAGACAGGGCTCCAAGTGAACATAGAGAAGGCGGAGGTGGTAAAGATAACGAACCAACATCAAAAATGACCCGCAGCAATCAATATCAACGGGAGGGACTTGAAAAAGGTCACTTCATTCACTCACTTATCTAGCATTGAGCATTGTCTCAACTACAGGAAGTCGGAACGGACGGGGATGACAAATCGAGCGAGAATCGGGAACGCGATCGAGAAACACATTCCTCAAGCTGAAACCAATCTGTAAATCTTCGTCACTCAGCCAGCATCAACAACAAAACTCGGTCGGATTTTCAATACAAACGTCAAGACAGTCAGTTCTTCTATACGGATCAGAAACTTGGCGGGCGGGGGGTCACAAAGAATAATAGGCAGAATACGGGAGTTAACGAATTGTAGGAGTAGGGGTTGGGTTATACCAGAATGTCTTAACTTCTTGATGTAGAGAGTAAAACAGAATATTTCCTTAGAAATCATCAAGATATGAGACGACCAGGAAAGATCAGCAGATAGAATGACGCCTAGATGTTTAATTTCTGACTTGGTTTCTATTTCAGTGCCATCTATGTTGCACACCTCGCAAGTGCTAACCAGTTTGTTTAGGTGAGATTTGTGCCTAAAAGTGAAATTGACTGTTTGTTGTAATGTACAACGAAGTTCTCAGGATATCCAATAGACAACAAAACTGAATATGAGTAGACCATAGTTTGTTTCTCGTGTACCTTCAACTAGGGGACGTTTACACAGTGGTTAGCACTCTCACCAACCATGCAAATGGTCCGAGGTTCGATCCCCTGCCGACGCGCACCTGATATCTATGGTTGGCCTGCAAAATTTGGGCTACCGAAAATTCCATATTTGTACCAAAAATACAGTGTGGAATCAAGCTGTAATCAAAAAAAAAAAATTAAACGAATGAAATGTCTGTTAGCGAACCCTCGATGGTTTTATTGTTCCATCTTCCCGAGTCACCAAGTGGACAAAAATAGTGCCTTCAAAGTTATCTATCGCATTCCATCGAGTCTTTTGGACGGAATCATTATAATCATCGTTATTAACTTCGTTCAAAACATTTACCAGATTATTATTATTTGATCCTAAAAGTCACCGTCACCGGGTCTTCCCCGTTTAGTTGTATTCTGAAGTCACACTCGAATATTTACGTGACTATCATTAAACAGAGTAATGAGGTTGTCAGGCTACTCATTACTGTCCCCAATAATCAGTGTATCATCCACATAATGTTTACATAGCGTAAATTCAGCTAATACACCTTCCGTTCCTTCTTCCAACTTTGACACTGACACGTCTCAAATATCTTATTACTGTCAGTCATAGTAGTTCTGATTGACTGACGGGTTTTAACGTAGAACTTTAAACAGATGTTCAGCAGTTTGGATATTATAAACCAGAAAGAGTGACTGCATCTGCGCCGTTATTGAGAACGAGGATTTTGAACCATATCAATACCAATTGTCTCCAGCTGTCATTGGTTCCTACCATCCCGACGACCCCAACCAGCCAGTCAGGCAGTCTGCACCTCCCCACGTGTCTGAGTCATTACAACTGTTATGGATTTCATTGACTGATGAAGCCATGTTTTGGTTCGATCATCATTAGCTCTTATCCAATCTAACCAATCCTATGTCAGTGGCTGATATTCCCCGCTGAGAAAAGCAATAGCATATGTAACACATGTCCTAACGATCTCAATCTGTGTAGCTTCACAACCTCGTCAACTGATTTCCCTTCCTCACCTAACACGTGATTGATGCCTAACCTCAATACAATATTACTCACCCTGTTATACCGTCTAACATGGGAGACGGAACGGAGACATCTATGATGAAAGACAGCTAGCTAAGCCTTCCACTTTCACTGGCCATGTCTGCCTTACAGGCGTATAGGAGGAAGAGTAGTTCAAATATGACTGTATAAAAACTGTGAAACGATATCTCTTAGTTTTTTTTTTTTTTTTTTTATGGTTACAGCTTGATTCCACACCGTATTTTTTGGTACAAGTGTGGAATTTTCAGCGTGGATATCGGTAGCCCAAAATTCGCAGGCCAACCATAGTATTTGTCTTCTGGTCATCTTATTTAAATTTACCAAAGGTTATAATTACAAAACCAACTTTCAACGTAAACATACTAGTGATGCATAAGAAAACGGAGATGGGACTGGACACACACTGAGGAAGATATTGAGTGCCATCACTTGCTAGTCAGACTATCGAGTGGAATCTAACTGTGAGACGACGAGTTGGACATGAATTCGTGGGTGATACTGAGGAGATCATATGAGAAGGGAACGAAAGGTTGTTGACAATCGTAGAACTATCTAAAGGGGACTGCACAGAACACTGAAATTGGACAGTGTGTTTTTGAACGCTTATGTTCCGCTCTGAACTGAAAGTAATAATGAACTGGTGGACTCACACAACTACATTGCATCTCTTCTTCAGCTGTGAGACGAAACTGTTTGTGTAGCTAGTATCTATAAATAGCACTTCGTATGATTTTCCATGTTAGTATGTCACATCCGAACAGCATCAGTGTATGATACTAAATTGCTTAGCCAATAATTTATTTCAGCACTTGAACTACTAGTTAACTTATAAGTAGTATAAATTATTTAGTGAAAAAGAAATTACGTCGCACGTAACGTTCCATTTGATTTCATTTTCTATCGTGTAATGGAGACAGATGTGATGGAGGTATCCACTAAAGAACCGTAAGCACCAGTCGCCATCAATAAGCGAAGGTCACCATTTTTACTGATTCAAGCCGAGCAGCATCGTTTCAATTTCACACAACATGAAAAATGATGTCAAAGTCGGTCAGGATTATTGGCTTGGAATAGGTGTTCTTTACTCTGAAATCATTTCAGAGATCTACAGCACTCAGCATAAAGAATTACACTCGAATTTGCAATACTGGTTTTAAGTTACTGAATGCCTTTATAATGGTTCAGAGGCTTGGTAACAAAAGAGAATTACTGGGAAACGCAAATCTGCTGGTGAAAAGGTCCTAAGAAAGCAGCTGGCCAACAAGGCTGCCTATAAAAGTGCACCAGCTAATGGTGACGTTAAGAAACCACACAGATACAGGCCAGGAACTGTTGCTTTCTGTAAAACCCGTTGTTACCAGAAGAGCACTGAACTACTGATCAGCGAATTACCTTTCAAAATTCTTGTTAGTGAGAATACCCAGAACTTCAAGACAGACTTTCGATTCCAGAGCTCAACTCGCCCACCAGACCCTCGAGTGGAAAGATAAGTTGATAAAATTAGCAGACGAAAAGTTACTAATGGACGAGTCACCAGGATAACTGAAGTCTAACAACAGATTCCTTTTTGGACACATAGGTCAGGTTTCAGATGTCTTGTTGCGATAGCCTTAACTAACCGAAGAATACTTGAGCTGTTTTGTCTGCCAATAATTTAGAATGATGCCAACGCGCCTACTAGGCTTCCTGTGTCTACTCAGTGTTCGGTGATCGAAGAACTTAAATAGTCTAATCCCTCTAACCTGAGACTCCTTGGTACATGTTCGAAGAATTTGACCAGGCCCTTCTTTGTGTCCTTCCTAAGTAGCTGCTCCCGCAGACATCTGTGAATTGTTATATACAGTTGAAGGTAGCATATGAGGAGTACTTGTCAATCCTTGACTTCAATAACGAGGAAGACATTCGGAGCAGAAAGGGCATTCGTTTTATCAGCTATAGCCACAGTCCTACTCCATAAAAAAGCAGCAATGAAAATAAAAATGACCTCAATGAATCAATGCATTACCAACGTAGTTGTTGTTGTTTCGCAGTCACATCAGGCAATAACCCCATACTCTTGTGTGTGGGGGAGACGTCGCTGGGAATAGAAATGCACCCTCACATCTACCGGTATAAATTCATTAGTTGCCTTTACCACTGTCATTGTTCCATAGTCAGTCAGTCATCAAGTAATTACCTCTCACTACTTTCTGGGAAGGTATCACAAGCAATAGAAACGCAGCATGGTATCAGTTTGTATGAATTCACTTACCACTTAATGATCTTTCAAATTATTCTTTGTTGATGTGATTTCTCATCCCAGTGAAGGAAAATACCTTTTTCACACAATCTCATTTTCATGGTTGTACAACCATATTTATGTGCCTGAAAGATAATACGCAATAACAAATAGTTTGTGTGTGTGTCCAGAAGGAGGAGGGTTGATCGGTCATTGGGAAGATCGATTTACGTAAAATTGATATCGATGAGGTGACTGATTAACTTTTACAGTTTTGTTCCCATGGACCGAATAGGAATGTATTCTGCGCTCTTCTCAATACGTGTAAGGAAGACAGTCTTGATGAACAATTTGGATAACTGAAAAAAAACTTTCTTAGAGGACAGAAAACCACTACGCTTTGTCAAAATGAATAGTAAATTATATAAAATAAATACAAAATTAAATAAGGCACCTAAGAAAGTGCTGCATCTAAATTTAGAACTTAGGAGTGAAGTCTTCCACTTCATTGCCTACTGAAGCTGGTGTCCCTCAAGGCCCTGTCCTTTCTCCTTTTCTTTTTTCTTTCTTCTTACACGACTTGCCTCACTCTGATTAAATAAACTTTGTGAAGTACGCTGATGATTTAACAGTTTCAATGGCTGTTAACTCCCAGCTAGATTGTACGAAAATAAATAGCTTTCTGTCGGGAGTCAGTAAATGGTCTGAGTCTAACGGTCTTAAACTGAATCCTTCTAAATGTCAAACTGTTAATTTCAGCTTCAGATTTAAAGAAAGTTAAAAGAAGTCATCGATTCTCATGACAGTTGTAAGATTG